CAAAAATCTCACCAAAATGGGATATGGGAAAATAACTAGCCTTTCTTTAAATTCACATCCTCCTACTAGTAGCAATGTGGTGTAGTGATTAACGTGTCGAGATTACGCACTGTACTGTCTTGGTTCGAGTCGTGATGGGTGTGTTAATAAGGTCTAGGTGAGGTCGAAAATGCAATCAACTTCTGCCTGGATGAGAACACCTATTGGGAAAGTAAGGCTATATTAAATTCGGCGGAAGTGTCAGCTCAATTCACATAATTGTGTGAAAATGTATCTAAAAGTCCTTGATGAGGTTAAACGAAATAGGGTGAATACTTCTCATTTAACTGATTTACTGATAGTCTCGAATTATCTTCTTACATTTGTCAATACACGCAATCTACTTATATACAATCAAAATGTTATGCACACTTCCTAACTTGACTTGCCCACATTTGGTTCAGATAAAACTACATGCTAGCCACCTTGAGCGTCGTGATCCGCCCCTTCAGCAGTGCGACAAAGCTACTGCTTTGCGCCTCTTTCGGGCACCTAGTGAGGCGGCCAAAGAGGTCTGGCTATCTGCTCTCCTCTCCGCTGTCGCCCAAGTCTCCCCATCCGGCCGAAAGCAACAGAACATGTATCAGGCCAGCCACTATGCCCAAGTTCGAACCCAGCAGAATCAGTTATGCCAATCCGCTCAGACTCAATCGCCAGTGTGTCAGGCCTCGACAGTTGATCTTACGACACTAACGCCTCCTGTAACTTTTGGATCCACTTGGGCACAGATTGGTAAGTTTTTCGCTCATAATTGCACTTTTGCATAATCGACTTATCTAATCCTAATTGCAATAGGAATATCTATTTTTTGCATCAACAACCTACTATATATGCGATAAGTATGTTTAGAAGCATTTTATGGAGTTTGATTATGAACGTTGGTCACTTTGGTTTGTTCAGCTGTTTCGAATCACGTAAGAGGTTTTGATTAGACCTATCCGAGATCGAGAGAGCAGTCAAATCTTGATAGGCAATATCGGGTAAAATTCAATGGCATGATTTCTTAATTATGGCTATATTTAGCATAATATAAAAAAAATATTGGTTAATTATTTGTCGTTATAATATAATATAATTTTATATTATCTTAATTGAGGAATCATGCCATCGAATTTTACGCTACATTATCTCTCACTAAACCTTTTCATCAAGAGTG